ATTTTCAAATATCTGTTACAATGACTTTTAACAATATTATTTTTAACATGTGATCGTATAGTGGTTTTAGCATTAATGTTTTACAATAAAGGACCTGAACTGAAGGTCTCTCTCACATTGACTGATGTTCATGTTCATGAGTCCACCATCAGGAGAACTCTGAACAACAATGGTGTTCGTGGCACGGTTGAAGGAGAAAGACACTGCTCTTCAACAAGAACATTGCTGCTCGTCTGCAGTTTGATAAAGATCTCGTGGACAAACCAGAAGACTGCTGGAAGAATGTTTTGTGGACGGATGAGACCAAAATAGGGCTGAGTACCGAACCGAGGTTCTTTTATGGCACCGACCGAACTGCACCGGTCGGTGTATGTATTGAAACGTCACTCTTCTTTCTGTGTCAAGTTTCGGTATTGGCTGTAACATGTCACGTGGTTTCAGCATGCAGGCTGGTAAAACAACAGACATATGACAAACAGACTACATCCAGATTACACCCAGAGCTGTATAGAGTTGCCATACCTAATCTATGTATACTGTAATGTATGTCTATGGTGCTGGTGACGCCCACAGATGGGTTCACGTGTGCAGCGCATGTTGTCGAACGGCTTCGACAACATGCGCTGCAGAAAGTTGCTTTGTGTTTTTCTGCGAGGAGAGTGGAGTTCAGCAGCCTCCCCCTCCTCCTCTCAGCATTAAAGTCAGCCTGTGAGTAGAGCCTGAACGTTCTGATTCATTATCTCCACGACCGGACTCTTCATCAAAGAACTCCGAGGATGGCTCTGTGCCTGTGCTTCAGCTGGTGAGTTTACGTTTGTAAGCGTAACTGCAGCTTAACATGTGCATCGCGGTGAAATAAAGTATGATCCATGTAAGGCTAACTTTAAGATATTAGTGTGTACATTTATTTTATCTACGTGGCTAGCTAAACTCAGAAGCTAACTAAAAATTGTCAGTAACATAAATCTTAGCTTGTAAAACTGCTCATCCATCCAGTCAGCTGCTTAAACAGTTCACTAATGTCCACTGTTTATGTTAATGTTCTCCTCACAGGAGCCTCTGACCCAGATGAGAGGAGGACAAAAGAAAAGTGAGGTGGGGGCCACAGGACCGTCACAAACTTTGTTGTTAAAAGTTTGCTGCTTTTTCTACAGTGGAGCTGCATGGTGGATGTAAGTTAAGCCGTAAAGGATTTTGTTGACCAGTTAAGCTTTTCTCTCTCACTCTAGATAATGTTTTTTGAGTAATAATAACACAACCATGTTATTGTTGATGTTTTGTTCTCATGTCAATTAGGGAGATGATCAGAGCCCTAAACCCCAGAGAACAACAGAGAAGATTCAGGCAGAGACACAGAGGTGCAGATGTCTGCATCATCACTACCTCATTGAATCCAGTGACCTGCTGGTGGAATGTGAGGGACAATATGTCAGTGCTATCAAACTGACAACCAGGTATCTGTGTGTGCAACAAGCATCATCCACACCCTCAGAGTGAACATGTTCTACTGCTGGAGACACCATCAGCCAGGAGTGAGCTTGTTTGTGTCCAGCGAAAGAAGACATGTTGTTTCTGAAGAAAAACTGTTTAGTGAAAAGGTCCTCAGTGTGTAGCAGTGAGCATTAGACACTGACGTGTCAATGGTTTGTAACTGGTCTTTGGACCTGGAAATTATTTGTTTGTTTTTTTGTAAAAAAAACTGCTTGGAATAGGAAAATACCAAAGTTAAAAAATAAAACTCACAATTTGTACTGTAATGTGTAACGTAATTTTATTCTTGTTAGAATTAATAGTAATTACAAAATTGGTACCAAAAAAAGAACCGTCCAGGAACCGACTCCGGAGTGAAGGTACAGACACTGGTACCGATACCAATTTTTTTAGAAAGGTACCCAGCCCTAGACCAAAACAGAACTTTCTGCTTTAAATGAAAAGTGTTCGGTTTGGAGAAAGGAAAACTGCTTTCCTGCAGAAGAACCTTACCCCATCTGTGAAACATGGTGATGGTAGCATCATGGTTTGGGACCATTTTGCTGCATTTGGGCCAAGATGGCTCGTCATCATTGATGGGATAATGAATTCTGAATTATATCAGAGAATTCTAAAGGAAGACGTCAGAACATCTGTCCATGAACTGAATCTGAAGAGAAGGTGGGTCATGCAGTAACACAATGACCTGAAGCACACAAGTGGTTTTACCAAAGAATGGTTCAAGAATAATAAAGTTCATGTTTTGGAATGACCAAGTCAAAGTCCTGACCTTAATCCTATCCAGATGTTGTGGAAGGACCTGAAGCAGCAGTTAATGTGAGGAAACCACCAACATCCACAGTTGAAGCTGTTCTGTACAGAGGAACTAAATTGGACTAAAATTCCTCCAAGGTGAGCAGGACTGAACAGCAGTTACCAGGACAAAGTGAGTTTGAATTTTTTAACTCACCACGTTTTTATTTACGTTTTTTCACAACGTCCCAACATTTTCAGAGCTGCGTGTTTTAGAAGGTGTAATAAGTGTAGAAAAGTGATTCCTTGTTGTACCACAAAGCCTCATGTCTCAGAGGTTAAGAACCTGGAGACAAACACCTGGAAGATGCTTTTACATGGTGCACGGTCAACAACACTGCATGGAGTGTTTACGGTCATTACTGTGATGAGAGCAGGCAAACGATAGGTGTTCTGCTTCCTGTTTTTAGTAACCGTGTCACTTCCTGACTTTCTCTGACGTGTTTGGCTGCACCAGTGTAGTGAGCCCAGTCTGTGTGTGAAAGTGTAAAAAGCATGAGCTCACGTGTTGATCCACTGCTGCAGGGTGTCTCGGAGCTGCTCTCCTTGGATGGGCTGAGCCAGGGTGCGCAGAGTGGGCTGGAAGTCTGTGATGGAGGGAGGCAGGTACCGAAACCAGCTGCCTGTACTCGCCTCCTCCTGCAGCGTCCTCCTGCTCTTAGCTGAGGGGGGGACAGACTCTGGGTCAAAGGCCATGGTGCAGTGACAAAATGTTATTCATTAGCAAACACATCTGGACTGAAGAAATGTGACAGAGCAAAGAGGTGAAGATGATGCAGAGGGGGTTCAGGTGAAGCAGCTGGGGGAAAACATGGAAGAACACCCCCCTTTCTTTGAGGAGGTCAAGATTAGAACTGGACGTAGACAGTGCCGCTGTGTTTACCTGCCGGGGTGCTGGAGGTTACGTTCTCCAGGATGGAGAAGAGCAGCCCACAGCTCAGAGCTCCGTCCCCTGGCCGGGGGCCTCCCCCCAGGGGCAGGTAGAAGACAGCGTAGGCCTGGAACAGCGTGGTGACCAGCAGCTCCACCAGACTGCACACCTGGGCCTTGATCCCAGCACCTGCAAGACAATGGGACATGTCTATCACCTGGAACAGGTTTCAAAAAGAGGGAGTTTGCCAAACGTTTAAAGATTGTGAATAGGCCTGTCACAATAAACAATAAATCAATTAATCACATGATAAATGAAAATTATCTACCTCATTTTCATTTATTGGCTTCATTGTTTCTTTGTGTCTCTCTCTTTCTACTGAAGACACTAGATGACAAAAAGCTCAACTCCGGTGCTCTTCACTGACCCCTCCCTTTCTCTTTAAAATCTGTTTTCACGATCCAAAATCGTGTTTTTGGATCCTTAAAAGCAGCTAAGCTGAGAAGCTAAGCTACGAGCTAAGCTAACAGGCCGACCTCAGGGAAAAAACCTCTGTCTTGTCGAAGCTCCAAAATTCATGGTTGAAACCCGTGCCTTTGTCTAAAAAGTTGTTTTTCTCTGCAAAAAGAAGCTGAAAACTTGTTCACTGATTTTTAATTAAAAGGTTTGTGTGAAAAATGCTATGCTAAAGAGCTCAAACCACACAAAGCATCCGCCATTTTGAGAACCAAAGAGAGACGGCCCATGTCATGTCAAGGGGCCTCTCTCCCATTTTTCTTAAAGAGACACGCTGCTCACTCCCTCACTATCCATCCTTCAGTTCAAACAGTCTTATACTGCCATCCAGTGCTCAAAAAGGTACTACACAAAATTAACCAACATTTCTTTAAGTTTGACAATAATTACCAATTATTGTCAAATTTCAAACATCGTTTATTGCAATCATTTCTGAGACAATTAATCGCCCAGCGGGGGTGTGGGGGGCACCATGCCTCGTTTACTGACGGATGTACAATATGGCCGAAAAATGAGCTAAATTAGATGTTCCCAGTCGCCTTCAGCTGTCTGAGCAACATGGTGACACCACTCTTTCTGCTCGCTCCTTCACTTTATTTTTCTGCAAAGAAACAACATGCACGGCCGACAGTTCAGCAAGCCACGCACGTGGAAATAAGCCGTGGTTCTATTTCGTATAGGCTTCGCCCTTTAAGGCTATCACTAGTGGGTTTATCCCTTCGTGCGCAGCGCAGCACTGAAAACTTTAGCCCACGCCCACCTACTGTGTGGGCCTCACCCCCGGTCCATATAAATTACGGTGAGACCGGGTAATCGGCTCCCATTTTTTCTTCAGCCAGCTAGCTAGCACTGTCAGAAGAATGAAGAAGGAAAAGTTGTCCAGCTTTGACCGGCACAACCTTTGCTAATATGCCCGGGTCTCCGCCACGCCAACCTCCTGCCGTCCCGGTGAGCTCTTCCTCCCCAAGGAGAAGCAGAGACGAGCAGCCTTGTTCAAGGTAAGCGCCGAGGAGTGCTTTTCCATGGTGGGCTGCTTCCTGCTGGACGACGCCATCATCTTTTCTAACGTTTTTTTCCTTGCGGTAAGCGAATGATTTCCTCAAAAAAGGTGATGTTAGCAGCAGCCCCGCTGAATGATTTTCCGTGGAGGGCCGCTACTTACTGGACGACGCCATCGCCTTTTCTAACGTGTTTTTTTCTCGCGGTGAATCGGATGATTCCCTCGAAAAAGGCGCTGTTGGCAGCAGCTCCGCTGAGTGTTTTTTTCTGTGGCGGGACGCTATGTGCGGGACGACGCCACCGCCTTCTTTGACGCAGAGTCACGCAGTGAATCGAATGATTCCTCCGAGAAAGACGATGCGGAGCTGCCCCCTCCCTCCTGGAGAGCGTAGTGATGGAAGATGAGCAGACAAGCGGATGCTCAGCCACCTCAGATCTTCCTGGCAGCAAGGTTGGCTCCGTCCCGGCTCGTCGCCCTTACCCCATCTGGCCTCGCTGTCCAGCTGTGACGTCACACTGGAACGAGGCTGCAGCTGGGCCCGGCAAGCTGAAGACATCCGTCTCCACCTTCGCCTCCATCTCCAGAGTGGAGGGTTTTACCGATCGGTGTTTTTCCCTCAGCGACTTCACACTCCGCTCCTCCACCGCCCCCCTCCACCAGGGAACAGCTCCTTGAGAGGAATGTGTGTGTTTTTTGATGAGGTATGTTTTGAAATATAACAGAAGCATCTCTGAAAGTAAAGTTTCATCTGATTCCAGCCTGACTGTCAGATCAACTGAGCTCACAGCTACCTCTATTCACACTTTCCCCACACAGAACGAGCCGGTAACTTTTAAACAGCCTTTTAAATGGCACTGCAATTCTGTAAATATCACAAAACACTCGTCTGCCACGTTAGCTAAAAATTATGTTTTTTCAGCAGACCGAGTCTGGTAAAATCCCTCGCTCTTAGCCAATGCCCGTTTTTATTTTCTGCTGTTTTCTGTCATCTCACCGCGCAGCAGGAGTAAACGTTTTTTTCTCCACGACAGCTGCAGCCTCCATCGAAATAGCGTTTTCACTCAGAAAGTGCTCACGCCTCCTCTCAATGCGCGCCGGCCCACCTCAGCTCGGCAGCTTTGACCGGCACAACCTTTGCTAATATGCCCGGGTCTCCGCCATGCCAACCTCCTGTAAAAAATAGCTCTTTTCTTCAGCCATTTAGGAACAAGTGAGGCCCAGAGCTTAAAGGGCTGCGCCTATACTCATAGAATCTGGGGTTACAGTACGTAACCAACGTTTTCTAAATATTGTGTTGTGGCTTCCTTAGAAGCTTGCATGCTGGTCGGAGGTGCAGCTGAAGTTTACCGTGCTGCGGCTGATTCAGCAGCTGATGGATGGAGGCTTTCCGGGCCAACAGGAAATCAGCCAGGGCCTGGCGCGGGGAGCTGTCTTCCAGCAACATGGTGGACACCAAGGCTTCAGCGATGGCTTGGTCTGACACCGCCCGGCCCCGCAGCACTGACCTGCTGTCCAGCAGAATGGTCGACCTGAAACAAGACCGCTGTTAGCTCAGAGCCTGGTGGTCCAGCCCTCAGACCCTCCATCAGTACCTGAAGTGTCCCGTGGTGGCAACCTGTCGGACCAGGATGGGGAAGCGGGCCAGGACGGGGCTGTAGTGTCCCCCTGTGGCAGCCTCCAGCTGCAGCTGGCCGTGCAGGTGGCAGCAGAGCAGGTAGAGCTGGGTGGCCTGCAGGTACTGGCAGGACTCCATGGCGCTCCAGATCCTCTCTGGGATCTCCAACAGAAGCTTGATCTGGGAGGCCATGGTGTAGAACCTCTCCTGCCACTGCCTCTGCTCCTGCAACCGGACACACGTTACACACAGTACTGACCCGGTCCAGACATGGTTCTATTGCGTGTGAGCAGCTTCACCTCCTGCCTGGGGCCGCCCAGCCCGGCTTTAGCCTGCTTCAGCGTGTGGCAGTACCGCTGCATGTCCTGGATGGACCGGACCACGCTCTCCGAGCACTGCCGCATCTCTCCGATGGTGTCGGCTGCGTCGATCAGGTCCCGGTACCGCTCCCCCACCATCTGCCTTAGTTCCTCCTTCTTCTGCTCGATGTCACCGCGGACTCTGCGCTCGATGCGGCGGATCTCCTCGGTGCTGTACCGCTCGAACAGAACCGTCGGGTTCTTGATCTCACAGACCCGGAGAGACAGCGCAGGGTCCTCGGCCATAACGACTCCAAAACAAACTCAGCCAAGAACAGGAGACACTTCCTGCTTCCACGTAGACTTAACGTGACGTCACAGGCTTGCGTTGCGTTCCATTGGTCATCACCATAGATATAATCACTAGATCTCTCATTGGCTGCTGCGGCGCAGGAATTTCAGCCGCCATCTTGGAGCGGTCGTCCTTATTTGGTTAAAGCAGAAGATGTCTCAGCACTTCGCAGCTTATTTCTGTTCGAATCGACGGACTGTTGACGTCAGATCTCGGGGGATAACTTTTCACAAGTAAGATGAACATATTATTGTTAGTATTTTGTGAATTTCTACCGTATACTGTTTATATCGTGCATTCCTAGTATGAAGCCTTCCGGATCGAAGGCAAAACGTTTCAACACAAAAAAATAAACTGTCCAAATGAAAAATGATTGAAAAATGTTGGATTATATACCTGGATTATTGAGCATGGACTTTGTTGTTTTCAACCAGTTTGACACAACTGTCAACAAGGAAGTAGGCCGGCAATGGAGGAGGGGGCGTGACAAAGAGACCATCTTAGCACCAACATAACTGGTTTGTTCCACTTTGGAGTAAGCAGTTGGAGGAAGAATCATTTTTGTTTTGTGTGTTTCCTTGACTGATGAAGTCTTCCGGATCAAAGGCGAAACGTTTCAGCACAATAAAGAGAAACTATCCAGATGACCTGACTGAAAAATGTTGGGTCCAGTGTTAAAGTTTTATGATCTCTCTCTTCAAGTGAAAGTGTCCATCGACACTTCACAAGATGCATTAGGAGCAATCTTGCTTCAGCAGCACGACTCAGCATGGTTTGCAGTCTTGCCTGTGCTTCACGGACAATGACATCAGCTGAAAGAAACTATGCACAAATTGAGGAGACACTGGGAGCAGTGTTTGGATGTGAAAAGTTTCATGAATACATCTATGGAAGAGGTGTGGTGCTTGGGACATTTGCAAAAATACAGTTTAATGTTTGAGTTCACACCAGGAAAATACTTGGTCTTGGCAGATGCACTTAGCAGAGCATCACTGAACACCACAGGGTCAAGTTCAACATAACATGATGTGCAAGTGCATGTGGGCATACAAAGATATATGCTGGCAGTGTCAGAGAGAAATGGAGACAGATTGTAACAGCAACAAGTGATGACAAAGAGCTCCAAGTAGCGATGGAAAGGATTCTGCAGCCAGGTGATCTCAGGCTGATCTATCCATATCAGAACTTCAAAGAGGAACTCACTGTGATGATGTAATTTTGCTGTAAGGAAACAGAATCGTAATACTGACCTCAATTTACCCAGAGATGCAAAACTTATACATGAAGGCCGTTTAGGCATAGAAAAGTGCAAGAGGTGAGCAAAAAAATTACTGTATTGGTCTAATACAGTTTGAGATTCAGCATCACCTCTGGAAGAAGGACTTTCACCAGCAGAACTTCTTATGAACAGGCAGCTGAGAACCAGACTTCCATCAGCAGAACATCTGTTAGAGGAAAAGATGGACATACAGAAAAGTGCAACAGACAAAAACTACCATATAACAGATCGGCTAGACCTTTGTGTCAGTTGGAGAAAGAGGATCTGGTTCGAGTCAGGTGTGATGGACAATGGAGACCACTTGCTAAAGTCATAAAGGAGACAACACCAAGATCTTATGAGATACAGACTGAGTATGGAAACAAAGGAACCGTCAACATCTGCTTAAAGTTCGACATATAAAGATGGAGGAATGTGAGATCGACAGCACAGATGGACTTACAGTGCAAGAAAATACTGAGCAAGTACCAACAAACATCACAGACAGCATGTTACATGATAAATACAACATCAGTACCTCAGAGATAATTTACAGAAGACCAAGTAGGCAAACAAAGAAACCAAAGAGTCTAATAGAAGAATGTTAAAGAAGTTAATTGAATGCAGAAGATTAGTAGTTAGGCAGCACGGTGGCACAATTGGTAGAGCTGTTTGCACGTTCTCTCCATGCATGTGTGGGTTTTCTCCGGGTACTCTGGTTTTCTACCACTGTTAGGCATGTTAGGCTGATTGATAACTCTAAATTGTCCCTAGGTGTGAGTGAGAGAGTGAATGGTTGTTTATCTCGTTTGTCTATGTGTTCCTATGATGGCCTGGAGACCTGTCCAGGGTGTGCCCCTCCCTTGCACAGTGATTGCTGGACATGGGCACCGGCGACCCCCGTGACCCAAAATGGAATAAGCAGGTAAAGAAAATGGATGGATGGATGGATGGATGGATGGATGGATGGATGGATGGATGGATGGGTTAAGTGTTATTTACTGTTTAATTTCATACAGAGATATGGCACAACTTGAATATGTTGCAATTTTAAAAAAGGGGGGCGATGTACTGATAAGAGTTGGCCACAAGGAGGCGTTAAGGTTTTCTGTTCATGCAGTGTCATGCAAAGAGTGTTCAATAAAGTTATGTATATAAAGATGGCACCCAGTTTGAGAGTCAACTCAATACACGGAGGGGAAAACCAACGCAAGCATAGAGAGAACATGCAAACGCCACCCAGGAAAGGATCCCAGCTGGGATTTGAACAAATTTGACTGTCTAGAATTAATAAAACCTATATTGGACATGATATCTTAAAATAATTACATAAACACTAATTTTAAACATAACAGCCAATTACGAGCTTCCTATTTCACATAAGAACTTCCCCTTCATTAAGCATTTCCGCTTCTACCTGTTAAAAAAAAAAAGCTCCACCCCTAAAAGTAGGGGCGGCTGTGGCTGAGTGGTTAGAGCAGTCGTCCTCCAATGCAAGAGTTGGGGGGTTCGAATCCACCAGCAGTCACATGTCGAAGTGTCCCTGGGCAAAACACTGAACCCCTCATAGCCTCTGATGTGTGTCCCGTCGGTGTATGAATGTGATCTAAAAAAGCTCTGATTAGTCTCTTTAGAATGAATTGTTCAGTTAGCTTTGTAGAGATCTAGTAGAGTGCTGTATGAATGGGTAAATGAGACACAGATTGTAGTGTAAAGCGCTTTGAGTATCTTGAAATAAGATAGAAAGGCGCTATATAAATACAGTCCATTTACCATTTAAAAGTACAGTCATGGGCGATGCAATTTAATTAAAAACAATAAAATATAATTAAACAACACAACTAAATTGAAAATCAGTTTAAGTGGGTCATTAATAAAATTTTGATTATTTATTAAAATTACAATGGAAAGAGAAAAGTTTGACTGGTAATTATGTTACATACAGATTTGTCATGTATGCATGCAACCCATGCTGTGTGTCGAGGTGAACCCAACTGTATCTAGTTGGTACCACTCAACCTCCCGCACAAGCACAGGCTCCTTCTTCTCCACCAGAGAGGTTGCATTCCATGTCTCAAGAGCCAGCTTTGGTAAGCCAGGGTCAGAGTGCCAAGGTCCCCACATTCAGCCACTGCTCATGGCATCATGCACCTGACTCATATGGCCCCTCCTGCAGGTAGTGGGCCCACAGGAAGGCAAACCCATGTTGTTCATTTGGGCTGAGCCTAATCGGAAAAGGATGGATTTCTCTCTTCGGGCAAGGGTGAGGTTCTGCCTCAAGTTGAGAACTTCAAGTATCTCGGGGTTCTGTTCACGAGTGAGGGAATAATGGAGTGTGAGATTGACAAGACAGATTGGTGCAGCGTCTGCAGTATTGCAGACGCTGTGCCAGTCAGTTGTGGTGAAGAAAGAGCTGAGCTGTAAGGCAAGGCTCTCTGTTTAGCAGTCGGTCTATGTTCCTACCTTCACCTATGGCCACAAACTCTGGGTAGTGACTGAAAGAATGAGATTGTGGACACAGGCGGTTGAAATGAGTTTCCTCTGCAGGGTAGCTGGACTCTCCCTTAGAGATAGGGTGAGAAGTTCAGTTATCAGGAGAGTCTTGGAGTAGAACCGCTGTTCCTCCACATTGAGAGGAGCCGGATGAAGTACAGTTGAAATTTGACCTGGCCTGGTCCCAGCCTGTAGCCATCATTTCAGAATCCCATCCGACCCAACGAATTAGCAATCACAGGTCCGAACCCCGCCCCCCCCCCCCCCCCCAACATTTTTAATTAAGCTTTGACTGCTTACATAGTTATTAATGATTGGCGAACGTGCGCGGCTGAATAAAAGAGGGCACAAGATCGAAGCTGAGGGGGAGTTTGTCCTTTCATGGTCATGAAAGCACATTAAATCCCTGCTTTTTCCTGCATTCTGCATTATTCAGAAATGGACCCTGCTCTGACATCTGATATTTTGGGATCTCACCTGTTTGGGTCGTCGGCCGCGCACGTCCACTGAGTGCAGCGGCTGAATGAACAGCCATTTGGGCGATGGATCGCTGGCAGTAGTCCATCTGAAGCTTAACTGAACTTTTTATCTCTTTCAAGGCCGGTCAGCGTGTGGTGAAATGGCCATGCGGCTGATGAATGTACGGCAAGCTATCCTGATGCTTGCTCAAGCTATGTTGCCATATAATTGCATCATCAGCCGCGCGCGTCCGCTAATGCAATCAAAAGCCTGACACCGACCCAGCCCGCACATTAAGCACATTATTATGGACCAAGTCAGGTTGGGCTCCTGGTTCGGGTTAGAAATGACAGTAGTGATGTGCGGATCAATACTAAAATATTGATACTATCAATACCAAAACACTGCGCTCGAGAATCAATGTTTAAATCAAACTATCGATACTTTTGATACTTCAGTCATTTCAAGTAATGCATATCATTAACAGGAAGATGGTGGAAAGTAACTAAACTATTGAGATCTTGTTTAAATTATACGCTTTTTTGTGGGAACTACTTTTTCTTCCACCTGCGTAAGTGCGTCATGTGTTTAAGCGCAGCGGCACGCTGCTCATCAGTCAGTCTCTCAGTCAACGGCGGAGCATAAACAGAATCATGTGTGGAGCTATTTCAGCTCCAAAAACAGCCAAGAAGTGGTTTGTGAGGTTTGTGGAAAATCTGTAAAGAGCTGTGGCAACACAACAAACCTTGTGAAACACTTCCAGTTAAATCACAACACAGAATATGAGGCA